TTTTCAGATCTTGGACATGGGCTCTTTAGAGCAACAGAAAGTGTTTTTGCAATCATAAAAATACATTTTCTACATTCATGAACTCATGAGTTTTAAGAGCAAAGGGACCATTAAATTCACCCAGCCTGAGGCATTGATGGATTTACTGCACAGGAACTAATGGACTAGAGCATGGTCCCTTTGAGATGACAGGAGAGAATCTGTGCAGCTCTTCAACCTCTCTCCTCATCAACATCAAGAGGGCAACCACTGTTGAGCTCTCTTGTCTAACACAGACCCTACACTCTGCTTCTAGTCCAACATACTTCATCAGGCATTTATTTAAACGCAACTTTTTGGAGAAAGTCAAATTCGCCTTCTCAAATACCCAGAGAAACTGAAGGTATAGCTATGCCCATAGATTGCCCCAGTGCTATCCGCTCCCCAGATCAATGTGGCTTACGATTACAGATCTGCACGCTCCCATTGTCCTGGAGTGTCTCTACTGCCCCTGACCAACACCATTTGGTCAGTAGCACCAGCCACAGCGAAACAACAGGAGCTGCTGTCTCTACAGTCATGCTTCGTCCTGCAGCAGTCCAGTCTTTCATCAGGATGCAAAGAGCGAGTCCTCCGGGACTTAGCTTATTGCCTCATAAAGCAGGATGGCAGGATTATTAATGTGGCAGAACTGCAGGATTTTCCAAGCAATTTATGAGTTGCCATGGCAGTTCATTAGCTCCTAGCCCAATGACCACTTTCTGCCAAGCATTCAATCAAGTAGGAGACACACACACATCTAAACACACAATGGCTATTGGCATCAAAAACGCATTTAAGACCACACTTCCTCCATTTTGTCCATCCTACATCTAACAAAGGCACTAAAATTCACCCTTTCCAGGACTGATAGCCAAACCACTGAAACACGCCTATACAAAAGCAATTCACATTTCCCCATCATTTTTTTTTTCCTCATCAGGCCATTTCTGACCAACGCATGTATTTAAAGAACAATGGGCACTTAGCAGAGGGGTTACACTTACAGTGTCTATTGACTGCACGAGGAGGCAAGGTCTGACAGTTTGGGACAGCAGGCCCTCTGAATTGCTCCTCTCTCTTGGCTTCCAGTGCTGTGAATATGGATTCTCTTTATACACAGACATGTAAATAATCCCTCATCCCCACTCAAGGAAGTATTTAAGAAAATGTTTAACTTCCACAGTATTTATACATTAGATTTAAAATTAAGCACACACTTAAAACACTTCCTTGAATACAAGCGGCATTATTTGTGTGCAAAAATTCAGCACACATTTAAATACCTTGCTGAATTAGGAGTTCAGTATAGGCCAAAAACTAAGTCAAGCATCCTAGAGAGGAAAGAAATGTGGAAAATTAAAAGGAACCTTCCAAGGTAACAAGAGGGCAATTAAGAGAAAGAAAAAGGTCAGGAGTACTGGAACTTTTATCAGCAAGTACAAAAACACAGCAGTAATGACACTAGCAAGCTACCAGCATACACTGCAAACACAGTGTTTTATACTGGAGACAGAGAGAGAGAGAGAGAGAGAGAGAGAGAAGAAGAGAGAGAGAAAAAGATAGAGAAAGAAAGAGAAGGAGAGAAAGAGGAGAGAAAGAGAAAAACTTCTACTAAGTCTTTGTTGTACTTTTTCTCTCATTTGCATTATTACTCTTATTTGTTGCCACCCTCTAATAGTTTCAAGGTATTTTAAAGAAAAAGCAGAGCTAAATTTTTTGCACCCCCCTCTAGTTACAGTTGCTATGCTCAGAAAGCAACCCCATCACGTGTTTTCTGCTCTCCCAGAATTAATTTGCCCTTGCGTTCTTTTTCTTAAACAAAAAGGAATTAATGTATTTATTAATACAGTAATGGGACCCACATACTGGAAAACCCCACCTTCTCCACCGCCCCATTAGCTAAACTTGGCCTTGGATCAAACTTTAGTATTTCAGCTCCTGCCAATGTTCAGGTTTGGAATGTTTTTATGCTGGAGGATTTTCATCTGCTTCCTTGGCTGGGCTAATGGAATCCTAATGTGCACGAGAGATCACTATCTCATCGGGCTGCCAGTTACTTGCTTGTTTCAATCATCTTGTACATACATGCTAACTTGTAGTATTTCCATCGCAGCTAAGTGATGGCAATAGGCGTTTAATGCAAAATGGGAAAGGATATAATATGATACGGAAAACTGATTCTGCTATGTTGACTTGAGAACAATATACAAGCGCTCCCAACAGCTGGAATAATTATAACAAATTACTCAAGAAAAGGGGGAAAAACTACAGCTGGACAGAGAGCTGGACGAAACCTTTACTTAAAAGCAGATTCATCAACAAATTATATATGTCTGGCAGGAGTTCTTACGTCCAGTACAACATGGAGGCTCGAAGAATTAACCTCCAAGAAATTAGGCCATAGCTTAAAGAAATCAAAGCTGTTGCCTTATCTGTTTGCTTCTTGGAGAATAAGGACAGGCTCAGTTACTATCGAGAAGTCAGAGGGCAGTATGTAAGTGCTGACCTGAGACACTTTTGCAGACGTTCTCCTACCAGGATTAGGAGACAAGTCATCTCGTTTGCCATTCATGAGCCATTGCTCCAAACAGCCAACAGCAGCGTTAATGCCTGTCATAAAGTCCACCTTAGCAAAAGAACTGTGATTTCTGCTAATAACCCATGACCTTTGAATTAACATCAGCTTTTGTCACCTCATAAATTAATCCTTCAACAGATTTTTTTTCAAGAAGTGCTATCAGCAGGAGACATATTTCGTTCTTTGCAGGCCTCCCCATGCTTTAGCATCAAGAGCAGAGCTCAGCTGCCCCATCCCCGTAATTACTGAAGTTTCTCATACGGAAAATGTCTGCATGAAGGTTCTCCTATCCACACTGCAACATCCATCGCTATGCTTGCTCCCGCCATCAAAGTTAAGGTCAGACTAAGTGTTAAAGAAGGGAATTGTAGCCGACCTAACTTCAGCTTAGCATGTCTGACTCTTGCTTAGCATAAGTGCCTAAAGTAGGTGAAGCCTGCAGGCCGCCGGACTGAACTGTAAGGCGAAGAACATTGCTGAGGATGCGACTGCAAAGTCAGCTAGAACCAGTCCTCAAGGATACAGAACAGAGTGACCAGAGTGAATAGAAGTAACAGCTGACCTTCGGATAAGATAAGGTACTGTGGAGCAGGAACATAGCAACTGTCTAGCAACCGTCCTGGGATGTAGACGTGAATCAATCAGAG